TCTCCGTGCTGCTCACAGTAGACGACGCGACCCTTAAGAGCTGTGACACTGCGTCGTCTCTGAGCTGGACCGTGCTGCCCCCAATAAACAGACGACACTGTCGTCTCCGTGCTGTAACACTACGCTGCTTGCCCTGGCTCTCACTCCTTCACTCAAGAAACCCGTTCGGCTGTCCCCCCGGGTCGGGACAAAATAAACTTGGGAAAAACAAAGGAAAAAGCCATCAGATGAGAAAGCAGCGCCTCCCATCCAGGTCAGGCAACAGCGTTCAGATCTGCAGCGGTGGAAGCCACAGGCCGACCACGGGCTCCGGCACCCGTTAACCTGAAATGCTCAGGTCCTGAGGAGCTAGAGGATGGGAGGAGGGGGATCATAGCCTGGCCTGACTTGACCCGGCTGGGGCGACCCTGCCTCACAGGCATACGTGTACTCACATTCTCTCGCGAAAGAATAAACTTAAAGAAATAAAGGGCTGGCCCCATGGCCTGCTGGTAAGGCAGCTGGATCCCACATGGCCAACAGCACAAGGTGCGTCCTGGACTGGTGGTTTGAGGACGTGCTGGGCTCGTGTGCGTGTGTCTCTGGTGAGCACATGTGCCTCTAAGAGTAAAGGGGAAAAAAGCCCAGGACAGATGCACGAAGAGGAGGGGAAAGGTCTGCAGCGGTCAGCCCTCTCTGGCAAGCTGGAGCTGCCTCTGCGGGGGCCAGCGGGGACCCCACCTTCCCTCACCTGCTTGATCTCCCGCTCCTGGCTGCAGTTCTCCCAGTAGTTGGTCACAATGAAGGCGGCATGTGCACCAGTCAGAGCCAGCACCATGCTGGCCTCGTCATCCTGGTCTCCCTGTACCACTTCTGCACCTTGCTGCTTCAGCTCCTTGGCTGCCTTCTGCCCAGGGTCCCGGGTCACCACACGAACCTTGAATGTCCCATCTTCCAGAAGTGTTCGGGCCACAGAGCCCCCCTGGGCACCTGCCAGGAACCAGAAAGACCTCCAAGATCAAAGCTGCCTGGGGTGCCTGAGGGCCAAGCCCAGAGAAGGGAACCCCAGAAGCTTTTTCACAGATGTTTCTTATTAAGTCACTTTCATGTAACAGCGTAGTGAGGTGTAGTTCATTCTCCTCTACAGTCACCTTTAGGAAATGTGTGATGCATCGGCTCTAGCATATTCGCCAAGTTGTGTGACCATGACCACTAATTCTAGAACATTCCATCACCCTGACAAGAAGCCCCACTCTCATTAGCAGTCACTCCCCATGCCCCACCCCATCTGCTGCCAGCCACTAGTTTATGTGGTCTCTGTAAATGGAACACACGGCACGTGGCCTCCATGCTGGCTTCTGTCACACAACCATGTTTTCCAGACTCACCCACGTTCTAGCAAACACCACACCCATACATTTACCATGAAATACTTCACACATGTAAACTGGTATTATCAACACTCATGGACCTGCCCTTCCCTTAAGAAATAAAACATTACTGGGACCAGCAGATGGCGTAATAGCTACGTCGCTGGACTCCCATGTAGTCAACTGCGGTTCGAGTCCTGGACCCGGTGGCTTAAACTCACACTGGGAGCATGTGTGTGTGTGCCCAAGATCCCAAGAGGAGAATGGAGGAGAAGGGATCACGGCATGGTCATCCCCCCCGGGGGGTGATCTCTCACTTTCTGTCTCTCTATCTCTGTCTTTCTGGTGAGCACACAGGCCCTATAGAAAAAAATAAAGAAAGAAAACATTATCTATACCATAAGAATAAAAATAAAAACCAGGGCTGGTTCTGTGGCCTAATGGTCAATGTAGCTAGGTCTCACGGCCAACTCTGTGTTTGAGAGGCCTGGTGGCTTGAGAAACACACCAGGTGCATGTGTGTATGCCGTAAATCCCAAAAGGTGGGAGAGATGGAGAAGGAATTGTGGTGCAGCTACCCTCAGGGGGGAGGTGGGGGGCGATTTCTCACTTTCTCCCTCTCTCTCTCTCTCCATCTCTCTGCTGAGCTCATGTGCTCTATAGCAAACTAAGAAATAAAAGAAGAAATAGCAAAGTTAAATTGCTAGAAAAGAAAGAGGAACGATCCATCAGACTACACACAAGACGACTGCCGGGCTGCCTGCAGTGCACACGTCTCCTCGACCTGTCTGCTGGGAGGGATCCAGCTGAATAAAGGTCCTTCCACACACCGGAAGGCGGTGGGTCTGTGTGCGATTGGGCGATGGCCCCCAGTGGCCTGGAGTGAAACGTGGCGGACCCACAAGGCCCTGAGGTCTAGGTGCCCTTCCAGCGCTTCTTTCCCACGACTGTCTGTGTGTGCCCAGAGCGAATCAGCCGGGAAGCCGGACAAGGTCCCCGAAAACATCCTGTGCCAGCATTTCCTCTCCCCGCGTCTTCCCCTTCTCTGACAGATGGCTTTCCATTGGTGCGGTGATTCCGGGGGACGTGAGATTTACGGTCAGACTTTCACACAGAACTGTGTCTAAAGGGGTCGGGTCCGTGTCACAGCAGTAAAGCACTGCTCAAGAGAAGCCAGACCCCACATAGCAGCTGCAGTTCAAATCCCCGGCACGGGCAGCCTGAGACACACCAGGCACACGCGCACATGAGAGGGCCCAGCCTCTGACAGGCTGGAGGGCTGGAGGATGGGGGCAGCGGGTCGGCATGACCAGACCCTGTGGAGAGAGCACATCTCTCTCACACACACTCAAACACACACACACACACACACACACACACACACACATATACATTCCATTGTGAATAAAGAAAAAAATGAAGAGTAAAAAGAGAATTCTGAGCCTGGCCCAATAACTGAATGGTTGGGGGAGCCCGATCCCACATGGCCGACCATGGTTAAAATCCTGGCCCTGGCAGCTTGAAAAACACACCAGAGTGAGTGTGTGTGTGTGTGTGTGTGTGTGTACGTGTACGTCCAAAATCTTGACAAGATGGAGAAATGGAGAAGGGATTGTGGTGTGACAACCCCTTACTGAGGAGTGTTTCTCTCTCTCCTAAATAGGAGGGACTTAAAACAATTTTTTTTTTTTTAAACTTGAGGGACCAGCAATGGTTATGTCTCTGGACTCCCATGTAGTCAGCCAGAGTTCGAGTCCCAGACCTGGCAGCTTAAAACTCATGCCGGGCACGTGTGCATGTGTGCCCCAAGATCTGAGAGGAGAATGGAGGAGGAGGAATTGAGGCATGGCCATGGACCCTGGCGGGTGATTTCTTGCTTTCTGTCTCTCTGTCTCTCCAGTGAATACACATACCCTGTAGCAAAAATTTATCTTAAAAAAAAAAGGTATCAGAAGTAGGTGGCATGTTGGTTAAGTTGCTGGATTCCTGTATGGGTGACTGCAGTTCGAGTCCTAGACCTCGCAGCTTGCTTTCTCCCTTTCCCTCTCTGTTTCTCTCTCTCTCTCTCTGGTGAGCCCATGTGCCCTATAGCAAATTTAAAAATAATAATAATAAATACAGTTTTATTAAAAAACAGACACACACACTAGACTACAGGGCCAGCCCCACCTCCAAACTTAACAAGTGTGTAAATAAATACTGTACCCTAGCTAAGGATACACATGCTAATGAAGTACGTACGAGCAGTGTGCTGGTATCTGCAGCTCACATCGGAATGATGTGAAAACAAGAACGAACAGTTTGACAGAAGGATAGATATTCAGTAACATGCTGGAGAACGTCAGTGGGAGGCCCTGGACTGTGGTGCAGCGGCCATGCAGTGCGTGCCAGGCCGAAAGCCGTCTGACTGATCGCGGGTTCAGATTCCCCGGTCAGCCTGAAAACACTCTAGGGGGAACCAGCAGTTAGCGTAATGTCTGTGTCGCTGGACTCCCACGTAGTCAACCGCGGTTCGCATCCCAGACCTGGTGGTTTAAAACTCACGCCGGGTACGTGTGCATGCGTGCCCAAGATCCTGAGAGGAGAAGGGATTGCGGTGTGACCATCCCCCCTGGGGGGTGATTTCTCGCTTTCTGTCTCTATGTCTCTCTCTGTCTGGCGAGCACACGCACCCTACAGCAAAAAACTCTCCAAAAAAAAAAAAAAAAACCACATATTAGGAATGCACACAGATACCCAGGATCCCGAGGTGCGAGAGACTGTGGGAAGGGGGTGATGGCATGGCAAGACCCTGTCAAGAGTGTTCTCCCTACCCTCATGTGTGCACTCGTGTGCTTTCTATCATAAAAAATGCCATGTTAGAATCCTGGTGATGGGCGCATGGGTTTTCACTATAGAACACTTTCGATGTGGGCCAGCCAGTGGTGTGGTGGTTAAGACAGATGGATCCGACATGGCTAACTCTGCGGTTCAAGTCCTGGACCTGGCAGCTTGAAAGACTGACTGGGTACACGTGTGAGCATTTCCACAATCCGAAAGGAAGGAGAAACAGAGGAGAAAGGGCTGCAGCGTGACAGTTCTCCACGGTGGTGCATTCTCACTTCCCCTCTCTGGTGTATACACGTGCTCTCTGGCAAAATTTTAAAAATAAAATAGGGCCAGATAGCTGCTGGTGGTTAAGGGAACCAGATCCCACATGATGGTTAAGACGGCTGGATCCCCATGCGGACTGTGTGGTCTGAGTTCTGGCCTCAGCAGATTGAGAAACGTGGGGTGCGTGTGACTGCATGCCCAAATCCCAGGATGGAGAAATGGAGAAGGGACTATGACATGACCGTGCCCCATGGAGAGGGATACTTTCTCCTTCGATCTCTTTCTGGTGAGCCCACACACCCTCTGGCAAATGTAAAAAAAGAAAAGAGAAATACGCAGGAAGAAATTTCACCTATCAAGTGCGTGGGTGATCACCCCAGGGTGGTATGACTACAGGCGATCTTTAGTCTCCTCTTTAATGAGAGGGTTGCTACTTTCTTTCTTTCTTTCTTTTTTTTAAAGGGTTTTCACCATAGGGAGAATGCACTCACCAGAAAGACAGTGAGAAGGAAAGTGAGAAATCACCTCCCCGGGGGATGGCCACGCTGCAATACATTTTCCTCCATTCTTCTCTTGGGATTTTGGGGACACACACATACAAACCTGGTGTGAGTTTCAAGGCATCTGCTGTGGGCCATGTGGGAGTCCAGTGTCTTAACTACTCCGCGACCTGCTGGCCCACTACTAATAATTTTTAAAGAGAAGGTCTAAGACACTACAGACACACACTTTACAAAAGGAAACATAAATAGCTATTTGGTTTTTTAGTTTGCTACAGGGCACATAAACTCCCTGGAGCGAGATACACAGAAAGTGAGAAATCATCTCCCAGAGGGGATGGTCACACATCAATCCCTTCTCCCTTTTCCTTTACAGACTTTGGGCAACCTTGTGCAGGCACACAGGACTCCAACAGAGCTGTCTGCCCTGCGGTAACCTCCACACCGCTGGTCCAAATGGGTTTCTTTTTAGGGCGATGGGAATGTTGTACAGTTGGCTGCATGCCTGTGAAGGGGTGTACTAGAAACTCGTGAGCCCTACACTTTAGGTGGATGAATTGTACACTGTGTAAATCATGTCTCAATAAAGTTGTTATAGAGGAAAGAAGGGGGGGGGAATAATATGCTAGCATTTGAAAAAATACCTATTTAGGGACCAGCATAATGGCTATGTCGCTGGACTCCCATGTAGTCAATCGCAGTTCTAGTCCCAGACCCGGTGGCTTCAACTCACGCTGGGTGCGTGTGCGTGCGTGCCCAAGATCCCGGGAGGAGAATGGAGGAGAAGGGATTCCGGTGTGGCCATCTCCCCACCCCCCCACACCCAAGGTGATTTCTCCCTTTCTGTCTCTGTCTCTCTCTCTCTGTCTTCCTGGCGAGCGCATGCGCCCTATAGCAAAAATCTCTCAAAAAACAAAACAAAACAAAAAACTAGTTAAACATTTACTTTGGTAGTAGGACATCCAGAAAACTAGTTTTAGCTTTGGACTTGTGGGAGAGGGGGGTGAGAAGGAGAAGGAAGTCGTGG